CAGCGCCACCACACCTAAGTTGATGTGCGGTGCTGGAATGAGATAAGAAGAGAGGGACGAGGCTCCAGACTAGCGCACTTAAACATCTCTCCAGCCTCTCACACCCTTCAGGTCCCCTGGCCCCACTCCACATTTGACTTGCAAATGATCGAAGAAGCGGCCTTTTCGACGGCTTTGATAAAATATTCCTTCTCTGTCTCTCTCTGCTGCCCCAAACCAGAAGCCGCCGAGCTGCACAAGACAAGCCGGTGTAGGGAGGAAAGGCCTTGACATTGTCTCAGAGAGGACGGGCAGAAAAATAAGGCTAGAAGAGGGACAATATACAGACCATATATATATGGAAACTAAGCTGCAAAAACAGCCTATTTTGAATTCATTGTTTATGGTCATAAGAGCTGCACAATGTACTGAAAATTCTTTCTGCAATTCAATAGTGTTGATAATTTCAGCTATTTATTAACTAAGCTAGCACCAGCTGACATTATATGCTGCCTATAGAACTTAATGTCCCAGCCAAGAACCATTTAGAACCTCTATTTTTATAAGTTAACTGAGGTCAGGCCATGGATATAACATGAGTAAAGTCAAAGTTATTTATATAGTGCTTTTTACAACATTGTCTCAAAGCAGCTTTATAGAAAAATCCGGGTCCAAAGCCCCCCGTGAGCAAGCCAATGGCGACAGTGGCAAGGAAAAACTCCCTAAGAGCAAGAGAAAGAAACCTTGAGAGGAACCAAGACTCAAAATGGGAACCCATCCTCCTCTGGTCGACACTGGACAGCAAACAACAGCAGCAGAGAATGTGATTTGACCATTAGTACAAGATACGTAAAAATGAAAAAGCAGGAGAAGACATGTCTATGATTAAAAGATGCAGCAGTATCATCAGGAGGGTCAGTGGCGTGCAGATGGAGTTTGCACAGCGTTGTACAGCAGGAAGCTCCATGGTGGTCAGACTGGTCCAGAGGGATGGTGAGCAGTAGGCACCCAATCAAGGCAGTGTTAACACTGGTAAAAAGTCCACCCAAAAACCTCCAATTAAATATATAGATGTATATATTGACAGATTTAGATTATATGAAGTAAAAACATCACCTCTTGCAAATTCTGTCAGCTGTCGATAGCTTGTTTTGCTCATGTGATTGATTGTACTACGGAAGTTAATAGAGAATGAACTACAGTAATTTGGGGGAGGGAGCGTACCCTTCTCAGAGGAGAAACTGCTAGCACTACAAGTGTGACAAGTTGCCCCAATTGTGGTATCATGATAACCCTATTGATGATGTCACAAAAACCAACACATATCTGCCCATAAGCACACAGCTCATTAGCTCTGCCCATTGATGCTGAAGTCATAAGAAGTGTTTCAGCATGGGCTGCTTTTTGCATGAGGCACAATACAGGGCAGCCAGTCAGAACAGAGCTAATTTACATATATGGACCATTCTGCCAATTGGGTTGAGAACACATTTTGGACTTATAACTAACTTGGACATAAAGCCCTTTAGCTTTGATTGACTTTATGACTTATGTTTAATTTATTGAAATATTGAAATAATAAGGTGGCCTGGAAGCGGCTTGGGATCTCTCAGAATGAGCTGGAGGAAGTTGCGGGGGACAGGGGTCGTCTGGGATTCTCTACTTTCCCTGTAGCTACTGCAACCCTATCTGGTTCAAGCAGTTTAAGAAGATGAATGAATAAATGAATGAATGGAATAATATTTTTTTATTAAAACACAAAAAGTTTACGCACTGATTTTGAGACTTCAGGACATTTACTTTACAATAATGGGATCTAACTGCTCACCTTGTGGCCATAAAGGACCGGGATGCAGTCTCACTTTCTGCTCTAAAACGGAGGGGTGTGGCTAAAATAAGGCTTTAGCTATATATATATATATATATAAAATTTGTTTCGGTAGTGACATGAAAATGTGAGACAGCATTTCTTGAATAAAATTTTTGCAACTCATGAAAAATCTACATCTTTCAACTTCACTTTAAAAGAAATCAAAAAGATCATCTCTAGATTATCTCTAAACAATTCATCGTTCAATTAATTTCAATGAGAGCCACAGGAAGAGTCACCTGGCCAAGAGTGACAGCTTTAACAATCAAAGGAAACAGCAGCCTTAAACTGGGATCCTGACATCGGTTATGCAAATCGCTCACATGTGCACCATCATCAGTCTGAAGACAGCTGTTTTGTGTGATCACATCAGTCTTGCTGGTTAGGAGATAAAACGGCACATTTCCATAAGGCTGGGTGGGAGAGCTTTGATGCCGACTTGAACAAGTGCTGATGTGTAAGTGAGCTCAGGGGCTGCATCTCTTAAATCAGGGCACCTTGAAAATCGACACAAACAAAATGGTGTAATTAAGATAAAAGAGGCTTGTAATTTACCAAGCACTCGGAAACACTGCAACCGGAGAAGAGCAATAAACTGAGCAATAAGACTGCTGACCTTCATCAACTGTTTGTAGCTCTTAATGCATGCACGCACACAATTCCTGCACATTTTCATTACACAGTGATACTCAGCACAGTTTAAGATCCAAAGCACATCTACAGTTGAGACTCTCCTCCCTCGTGGGAACTTCAAACAGAAGAACTGGTTTTGGCCACAAGTTGGAAAAGTCTCCATCTAAGAACCACATCAAGAGAAGCAAAGTTCTACAGCACATGTCGTCTCCAGCCCTTTCATTTGCTCTTTGAACTGACGCCAGACTTGAACTCTACCACTTTGGAGCTTTCCGTCTAGCTCAGTTCCTCCGATGGCATTGGGCGGAGGGGTATAGAAAGAGAGGTTGGAGAAAAGCCACAACAAAGAGCAATCGCGTGCCACCCAGAGTTCTTTTGAGGATTCCTCTTCTCCTCATGACTGACTACTGTCATGTGGCATCGACAGGGTACATCATCCGTGCGCATGGATGCTTTTCTTCGGACGAGCGCCTGCAGATGACAGAGGTAAATAAAGCGAGCGATGAATCACCTCTCAGAGGGATCGCTGAGCCTGTTGCGCGGGGAAGGCCATGATCAGAGGCTGTTCCAGCTAACGCTTCATTTTCCTCTGCGGTCAGATGGGGACCGGGGGACTTGCAAGGCCCAAAAAATGAACAAATCACCTTAACGTTCTCCATGTTCTTCTTCTCAATTACTTTCCTGAGAGACTCCTCCAACACGGCACAGGCAAATCGCGTTACTGGCAAAGATTCAGCCAACATGAGGCAATGATCTTTAGTGTGCCGGGCAGCTGCTGGGAACGGAATCAATGCAGGTGTTACGAAACACGTTTAATTGCATATAAATCTTAGAGTTAACGCAATGTCAGGCACTCATCATTGCAGGGTCCATCAGAGGCATTATGACACAAATTTGAGTAAAGCTTTCCCCAAAAATGATCTGTTCAGCATGGCTGAGTAGATATCTGGGCGAGAGTGGCTGGGTCTCTAGAGGAAGACTGAGCCTCTAGGGATCCTCAAACCTGTCCAATTTCCTCCCCTAAACGAGCTCCACCAGGTCAGCACTGATGATGCACAAGCACCCAACAGCTCTCTAGAGACTGCCTTCTTGGACTTAAGCCCAAGTAAAACCCTTTCACTTAATTGACAATTAGCTAATTAGGCATATATGCCATTTCCGTGAAACTGCCAACGACCCTTCGCCAGTAAAATATTTTACATGAGGGAAATAAAAGTTGTTTACCAGTGCCATCCGCTCAGACAAAGTCATTTATTTCTTCCTGTGAAAACCGTTTATCTCGCAGAAATGAGTAAGTACACAAGCTTAAAGTCATTAGCGATTAATTCGGGAGGATTATGAGAGAGGCACACTCTTTAGCACGGGTGCTCATGCACACTACAATCCCCACAAAGAGAGCTTTGTAAAGTATGGGTCCCTCCTTAAGAAGTCCCTCCTCACTGATTTCCCACATCCACTGAAAGCCTTGCAACTCCACTGCGGTCCCACTCTCCGTGGTAACAACTACACAAACAAAAGCGCTGCTGGACACAACATTCCTTTGTGTTATCAAACGTGCTGCAGCTGTCGGCCTGGACAAAAAAACAGAATTAAAGAAAAATCGGTGAGGAACTGCGCAGACTCCACAGAATTTGAAATAAATGTGTCATGAGGATTAATGACATTCAGATGTGAAAGTATAATGAAAGTTCTGTTTGTTAACTGTGGTCCGAAAGTTGTGTTTTTGTGCAATTACAGTACAAATAAACAGAAAATCACAGACCAGGGCATTCTGCAATGACATAAATGAATGATCGCTTTCGAGGACCTGAGGTTAAACGTTTATTACGCCGCCCTGCGCAAGTTAGAGAAACTGCGTGAAAACAAATGGGTAGGAGCGAAAACCCCTGATCAAGAAAAAGCTTTCGGCTCTGCACAAAGCCCCATTGTTCTGTCAGTAAACCAGATGGACTATAAACATTGTTTGCTTCGAGCAGAATTACTGGAAATTTATTCTAAGCTTTTCGCAGTCCGCAGAATTTTCGCAGCCAAGTAACACTAGAGTCAAGTAACTCCATCAGCTCCGCAGAGTATAGAAAAACAAAACTCCGTAAGGGAATAAAGTAATACTGGCCAAGTGGAGCGTGGATTACACTGGGTCCCCTTGTGGGTGTGATCTGCACTCCTGGGGAGCACAGGGCTCGTGGGAAACTCATGCTGCCTCTTCCAGAATCCCACTGGATTGTGTGATGTATACCACAAGGCTCTGCAAGCAGGTCCAACCTGTCAGGAGACTCAACAAACCCACAAAGCAAGAAAGTTCTATTCATAGTCTTCCTCACTAGAGGACACAAGCCTAAGTTTCTCTCAGCAAGACACAGAACAGACAGGCCTGTGGAAATTAGGGCGAGGTACCGCATGCGGGTGGACCGTCCAGAAGCCACAGATTTCACAGGTGCAGGAAATGAGTAACAAATGAAAAGCATGGAAGGCTGAAGAAACCCAAACCGGATGCTTACATAAAGTGCAGGGAGTCTGGTGACACGTGGAGTTCATAACTCAGAATTTATTACTGTTCAGTGTTTTACAAAGCAGATGCAAAGTAATCCCCTGTACAAACTCAGAACATGAAGGCCACATCATTTAAAACTAAATAACAGAGGAAAATGTAGGGCAGCCAAAGGCTGCAGAAAATGAACCTTGCTGGAAGGGAGAGCTCAGACTGGAGAGAAAGAGGAGAGAGGGAGAAAATAAACAACATTATCCTTCACAGAAGGATATAACACTGCCCCTCTGGCAGAAGCATTATCACACAAGAAGGAGCTCTGTCATCAATTTGGGTGAAAGTTCGAATTTGTTTTTGTAGAACGCACGGTGCTTAATAAATTATTTCCTGTCTCTGAGATTTCTTTATGGTGGCACCTTCTGGCAGAAAAGAAAAAAAGAAGACAAACAAACAGTTTTTTGGAGCAGAAGGATGAATAATCCCACAGTCTGCTGCCTGGCTCGTCGTACACCTGTTTGGGCTCCAGCATGTCCTCCAGCTTTGCTCTTACAACAATGCGACTCTCCGTGGCTAACGCTCATCTGGTTTGCAAAAAATAAACAACTTGGAAACATAAGATTCAAATCGCCATACATAAAGGGATAAAAGCACAGCAGTCCAGCCCTGCATTCGTGAAGGACAGAAGGTGCTCCTGAACGGTCAAGTTTGCGGTGGGGCAGGAACATTTTGCAGCGTCTGTTCACTTCGGTCACTCTGCGCCTCTCAGGACGGGTTGGACTGCAGACCCTTGGAAGCAGCCAGCATCGCCCTCACTTTAGCCATCAGGTCCTTTAAGGGGAAAAGGAGAAGAAAGGTGAATTACACGGGATGAGCTTGAGCATGAAAGCCTGTGGAGCAGGGAGAGCAGAAAAAGACAAAGAAGAAAGAAAAGGATAGACAAGAGGGAGAAAAAAGGGCAGACAGAAAGAAGACAAGGATAGATGTTGTGCGCATGAAAAGTTTGCAGACCTTACCTTGATTTGAAATTTTCTTGCTACTTTTAAATTGAGAATAAAATCCCAACAAGTTTTTGGTAAAATAAAACAGTCATTTATTACGTTTTGCTTTAACACTCTTCAAGTACATCAAAGGGTAAAGGAGCAGGTTCCTTCTCGTTGCTTCCCAAATAATTAATTCTTCACATGCTAACATCAAACTTATAAAGAAGAACCTAGGGCTGGACGATATGGCCAAAAATGTTATCGTGATAAAAATGTTCATATTAGTGAGTATCGATAATTATGATGATAAAATGTCAAATCATTATGTCTTTCAAGTTTAAAGGCTGATTTTTTCCCCTGAGTTAAAGTTGAAGAAATCAGACGGTTAACTGTGGTTTTAAACTATTCTTTATCATCAGAACATGATAAATACTTGTCAAGCAGAGAAACATGTTGTAAATCTGTCCTGGGATAGTGGGAGAAAGTTTCCCAGCTTTTTACCAGCTGGTTAAAGCAGCACTCTCACACAGCACGGCTGCAATGTTTATAATCTTCATAAATTAAAAAAGAAACATTACTTTTAGCCATCTGGTGACAAAGGCTGATTACAGGTGCTAAACTCAACAACTTCAGCTTAGTATGGGTTAGTATGAGCAGTAAACATCTTTTTTGTCGTTTGATCACGTTAATGTTAGTTCTCTACAGTAACATCAATTCGGCTGTGCTGTGTGTTTGAGAGAGCGCTGCTTCAAGTTAGTCAGCTGCTAAAAACAGCTAGCCAGGGAAGCTAGCGTTCTCCCCCTCTCCCACGCCACCAGCATCTTCAGTTTGCTTTCGTTTAGTCCCCATCCACTCTCTCGTGGAATCATGGCGAAAAACTCAGAAGTTTGTCCTCTCTTGGCGACAACAGAGAGGTGTCACTAGAATGTGGAAGCATGAGAATGGTCTGTTATATGGAACGCTGATTGAACGTTTTTTATATTTCTATTTAGAAGTTATCATGATAATTATTGTTGTTTTATCACCCAGCCCTAGAAGAACCATCCACTGAAATGTTCTGTTTTAGGAACTATTTTTATCTATTTTTTAAGCTGGCAGCAAACTAAACAAAACCAAACTACTGCTAAACATAGTCATACAGCGATCAGGCATAACATTATGACCACCTCCTTGTTTCTGCACTCATTGTCCATTTAATCAGCTCCACTTACTATATAGGTGCACGTTGTAGTTCTACAATTACAGACTGTAGTCCATCTGTTTCTCTGTATACTTTCTTAGCCCCCTTTTACCCTGTTCTTCAGTGGTTAGGACCCTCATGGACCCTCACAGATCAGGTATTATTTGGGTGGTGGATCATTCTCAGCACTGCAGTAACACTGACGAGGTGGTGGTGTGTTAGTGTGTGTTGCGCTGGTCTGAGTGGATCAGACACAGCAGTGCTGCTGGAGTTTTTAAACACTGTGTCCACTCACTGTCCACTCTATTAGACACTCCTACCTTGCCAGCCCACCTTGTAGATGTAAAGTCAGCAGCACTGCTGTGTCTGATCCACTCAGACCGGCACAACACACACTAACACACCACCACCACGTCAGTGTTATTGCAGTGCTGAGAATGATCCACCACCCAAATAGTACCTGCTCTGTGAGGGTCCATGGGGGTCCTGACCACTGAAGAACAGGGTGAAAGGGGGCTAACAAAGTATGCAGAGAAACAGATGGACTACAGTCTGTAACTGTAGAACTACAACGTGCACCTATATAGTAAGTGGAGCTGATTAAATGGACAATGAGCATTATGCATGTTTTCATGCTGATCGGCGTAAGTATACAGCCCCATAAGGTGATGTAGGAAACCATGTGACATCTAGACCAATCGCAGTCAGGGGAGGTCTCAAAACAAACAATGCTGAATTTAAGACTAATCACAGTCAGGGCTTTAGAACAAACTACACAATGATCACCACCAATCTGTAGGAGGTCTCAGAAGAAACAATGAGGTGATGAGCTCTGTAAGCAGCCAATGCACACTAAAATATGAAATCACTGTCATTTTGGCCAAAAAGACACCCTTTGCTTTGAAACATTTTTATGTATATTATTTTAAGTATAATACCAGTTTAGGGGTGTATGGCATTGTTCTCAATGCAGCACTCTCACAATTATGATACTGTTTTCCTCAGAGAAAACCTGAGTAGCCTTTAATATATTCAGTTACTGCAAACCAGTGAAGAAAACTTCTCCACCTGTACTACAAGATTGTGAAAAGCTAGCCATCCATAAACTTTTGACTGGCAGTGTACACTAAAAAAATCCACAGAAACATGTTTGGGATTCCAGAGTTGGATGTGTATGATAATCCCTGGCTCTATATGCAGCCGGGTGGTGATGTTATGGCTGAAAGCATACATAGCACAGAGGCTCTTTCAACAGGTCAGGTGTGGATTCCCATAACCTCCCCCAGCCTGCAGACCACCCAGTCTAAATCCAGCCTCTGAATGCATACTCCAGGCCATAGGGCACCACAGCTGTTCCTAGACAATCTTTCAAAGCACCACTCAGGCGATGATTTCACTACTTGTTTATTCACTTATCTGTCATATTCATGTACGCAGCACACATATTAAGTTCCAGTTCCGGCTAGTGGACACGCATATCAGCATACTATCATTATATGATGCTATACGAGGACAGTCAGCATACTTTAATACACGCATTACTGGTTCATTGGTGATGCGCAGCGCTCTGAAGACAGGCCTGTTCACACACTTGACCCCACAAGCACTAAGGATGTTACGATACATATATTAATGTTCTCTAACATGTGGGTTGCAAGATAATATGCTGTTAGATTTAATGTTTTAAAAGTATAAAAATATCAGACATACTGACATAAATCAGACTGGTTAAAAAACTCTCCAGTCTCCATTCCTAGAGCTGGCTTTACATGCGAAACATTCATGCAACTATAGCAGTTTCAAGTTGCATAAGATATCCTACAACTCAATTGCAATCAGCTGCACAAGTTGCCACCGTTTCAACTTCATGAAACAAGTTGAAAGCGCTGATCAAAATGCAGATAACATTATGACACCATGTTGAATTACATAATTTCAAATTATTATAGGAACAAGAAAGTAAAACAGGAGAAGATTTGTTGGACAACTGAAAAACGAGATCCTTCTATGTAAAATTGGCAGTTTTTCATTTCATTCATTATGTGTGCCATGATAACAAGCCGATAAGTTTCTTGAAGCTAACATTCTATAACCAGCTGGCATAAATAGTAACAGCTGTTGAAATGGCTGCTTGTGCTCCTGTGTATTCTTCTTTGTTGGTCTGCTGTTGTCATCTATGCAGTTATTCTTTTTCTCCTCTCTTGATGCCCACAAATCTTACAAAGTGAAGATTTCTTGAGCCACTTAAACACTATTGTTTAAAGGTTTAACATGCTCAGATTAAAAAATTCAAACATATAGTAAAGAACCCCAGACAGATAGATAAACAGACAGATATAAAAGAAAAATACACAAAGATGCTGCAAAATATTTCTTAATTTGATGCATCAAGAAATATGAGCTGCTAATTTAGCCAACTAATGGAGCAAGTGAATGAGTTGTGCGTGTCAAGTTGCACAAAAAGTATGTTGCACACAACTAGTTGCATGAAGGTTTCACCATGTAAAGCCAGCCTAAAAGAGACAACCCCCCCCCAAAAAAAACCCCAAAGAAAAACAAACAAAAAATAATCTGCTGCAAAACCGTTTATACTCTGAGAGTATCTGTTTATCTTCCAAGAAAATTACTTGTTTTTGTTAATTATACTTTCATAAGGTGCTGCGGTCTTGTTTCGGATTTTCTCTGAAATAATAAAAGCAAAATGAATACTGTTTTTCTTGTTTACTTGTGCATTCAAAATGTATAAAAACACTAAAATACATTCCATATTAAGAGATTTGTCTATTGCTACACTGCTAACAAATACACCACAAAGATTCCTCTTCACTCACAAGCTGATGGGTTATGTTTGGCTGATGACAGCTTAATTCATCCCCTGCCTGTCTGTGAGAGAGGAACCTCCAGCTTTTTTCGCCGGCTTGCCGGCGGCCGACACTCATTAGTCCTGCCGCTCGCAGTTTGAAAACAGTCCAACCTGGAGATTACACATCAAATTGGTAAGATAGTCAATCTCTCAGAGCGGGTGGCCCCACTGCACAGCTGTCATAGGACCTGAGCTTTGCGCTGCCGTGTCTCTGAGTTAAGCTATTGCCTCTGGTCTGCTCGTCTGGATATGGAGATATTGATCAAGAAATTCCGATAAAGCCCCGGCAAAAAATAATCATAAAACAAACAAATGAGCGAGCAAATGCAAACATCTCTCTCACACACACACACGCATGTCTGCCCGCTCATATAAAAAGGCAGTGAGGAGGTGGATGAATATGAGAGCTCTGTGGGGGAGGGCAGTGGAACCAGGCATTAAACCTAAGCACTGCAGCAAAAGTTGCAGTAAAACTGTAAGAGCAGGCAGACCACGGTGGCCCATATGGAGACAATAAGATGAAATAAAACAGAAAGACAAAAACAAGCATAAGAAGCGGGTCCACAGAGAGCCACAAACTCAGTGTGGGCTGCTAGTTAGGTTCCCCTACACTGGTCTCCCAATAATAAGACTCCTAATGGACTAAAGGAGCAAAGTTCTCCTTCCCTATCATTGTGGCCTGGCTTGCTGCTGTTTCGCACAGTGCGCTACGTCCCTGTAAATGCTTTAACTGCGGTCCCCCATCAGCCCCACAGCACTCACAGGCAATCAGTGCACCAGCCATGCGAGAGGAGGCATGATAAAC